TTGTTGTTGTGGTTGTGTTGATGGTGGTGGGGGAGGGGGAGTAGGAATTTTAGGACTTCCAAGAGTTGATTTTTCTGAACCAGACCAAGATGGTTCGATTTTGGGGGGTAAACGAAGTGGGGGGGTCCCAGTTCCTTGACTACAACTATCGGCTTTGGATTTCTTCAAGGAATTTTTGGGTTTAGTTTTCCTTTTTTTCCTCGTTTCACCTCCACTTTTCATTTTCCCACCTCCATTTTTAACTTTTTTCACCCCAATTTTCCCTTTGGAACTTTTCATTTTCTTCATTTTCCCCCCACTTTCTTTTGGGGGTTCATTTTTTCCCCCCCCTTCAATACTAGGAGCTTTTTTCTCTTCAGGTTTAAGAAAAGGCGCTCGATTTTCAGCGTCTCGACTGAATTTCACCCCGATGGATCCACCTGAGCCCGGTGTCGTCACCGGTGTCACCGTGGTGGAAGTGACACCTTCCCGGATAAAAACAGCTACTTTTGATTGAAGTTTCACCTTTCTTGATGTTGAAGGTTTGGTGCTTCCTCCTCCTCCTCCTCCTCCTCCTCCTCCTTCTCCATGGCCACCACTTTTATTCCTCCGCGGTGGTTTTTCCCTCTCGCCGCGCGCGGGTTTTTCCTTCTCCCCTTTTACTGGTTCTACTGGTGGTACTGGGAGTGGTGGGGGGGGTGGTCTAGGTGTCTCTTTTAATTTTTTCTTATATTTCTCTCGATTTGATGAACGTTCTTCTCCTCGATTCCTCTTCCTTTCCTTCTCTTTCTTGGTTTCCATCACCGATCTCGGTGATTTCCCGTTTCTCATCGTTAATTCCGACGCTTCCCGATCGGAAAAACCTTCTAAACTTTCACAATCATATAAAATTTCTCTTTTAATAGTTGTTTCTGGTGACCCTTCACCTCGATTTATCGTGATAGTTCGTTTGATAGCAAAAAGATCAGCGTCATTAAGTTCTTGGATAGATGGTGGAACCACCCCACGCGTCTCCCGGCGTCGCGACGACGTCGATTCTCCTCCTCCTCCTCCTTTGATCTCCCCGGTTCCTTCGCGTGATCTTGGATGTTCTCGAGAACGTGACCGTTGTTTCTTCTTCTTTTTCCCTTCGTTTCGATGTTTTTCTTTATGTCGTGACCGTCGCGGTCGTTGGTGATGGTCGGCGCTACCAGAACGATGACGATGATGACGGTGACGGCGGCGACTGCGACGTCGTTTCTCTCGCGAAGGCGAGCGGCGATTTCGCGACCAAGAGCGACGGCGAGAACGAGAACGATGATGATGATGATGGTGATGATGATGATCTTTAGGTTTTGGGATGAGTTCAGGTGGTTTTTTCTCACTCCCACCTCGTTCTCGTGAACGTTTGGGTTTCTTCCGTGAAGATGATGATGGTGAAGGTGACGTTTGAGGAGCGCGAAGACGCCGTTGAGTTAAAATCTTCCTCCTTAAATCCGAATTCCCACTCGTTTTCCAACGTGGATCCGGTTGATTTTCGACACCAAAATCAACTTCTTCATCCGAATCGGCGTGAAGAGAAAGGAAATCATCACCTTCTGGTAACCGAGGAGGACGCGGGGGGTCGGTGACTCGAGGTCTGGAGGTGACAGTGGAAAAGGCGGGGGGGGGTGTAACGTTCATCTTCAGGTTGAACAATTTCACCTTCTTCTATCTCCGAATCTCCACCGGTTAAACCCCAATCGCGTCGGTTCCGGTACCGGTTGGGTTTGGTGACACGAGAAGGTTGAGGTGTTAATGGAGAAGGTTGAGGTGTTTTAGGGTTCCCAGCTGCCACCACCTCTAAAGAGACTTTTCCATCTAATTTGGGGTGAGATTCGTTTTCTTGATGATTTTTCGAAGTCAAATCGACGACGAAAACGCGGCGCCGAGGTTCGGAGATGGGTTCTTCAAGGGGTTGAGTGGTTTCATCTTCATCTTCATCATCATCATCATCATCATCAT